TTTCGCCTATCGGAAGTTCAGCACCAAGGCGGCAGCAGACCCCCCTGGACGAGGCAGTACTCACCGCGTCGCACCCCATGAAGGTGGAGCATGGTGGCGGCACAGAAGGCGAGCTGGGCCCACGTGCCCGAATGAGCATCTAGACAACTTGTGCGGCCGCTGCTATCGTGAATGCAAATTTCGCCTAGTCATCGCCTCCCCCTCTTTTTTTCTTCGCGTTCTTCTCCCTCTGTTCTTCTTACTCTTCCCCCTCTTCCTCTTATTATCGCATTTCTGACTGTTGTTTTCCTCCGCCTTCCTCTTCCTTCCATTTTCCACCTAGGCAGTTGCAGCTTAGACACGAGCACACACGCACGCACTCATCAAGAGACACAACACAGCTTCTACCGCCGCTAGCACCCTCGCGTATTCCTGTCGGCCAATTTTACTCAACAGAAACTATTAGATTTATTATTTTGTTTCTATTACTTTTCCCGCCTCGAAGCCATGACGTATTTACTTTTTTTTAACAGAGACCTTCGGTTTTATATGTTGACTATGGATGCGCAGATGCACACGACACTATGAATAAATAAATAAATAAAAACATTTAAAAAGGCCCTTTTGAGTTGCAGCACATTCTTTTTGTTCTTCACAACCTGCGTACAAGCTAGGGCTTCCTGAAATTCACAAAAAGGTAATGAAAAGGGGATAGATCTATCAACAGTAAATACTTAACAGTCAAGTTAAAGTTTCTGCCTTGTGAAAGAGGGCGATGGCGGTGGTAGATGACCGTTTATTTACTGCGACACAGTGTGGTGTGCCGTGGGTCGCATTGCGTAGAAAGACATTGTGGCCGTGGAAATGCCTTACTTGGTGTTATAGTCCAGGTGTGGTTGATTCTTGGGATTCTCGGGAGCAGTCTGGAAGTTTTTGAAGGCTAGTTGTTTCAGCTGCGACAGACGCATGCCCGGATTCTCCTTACGCAGCTCGGGCAGGACTTTCTCCTCGTACGCCATGTAGACTGCTTTCATACGCTTTTCAGGATGCCGTTCTGTTGGAGCGTCGTCGCCAGCAACCCTAAAAACCAACGAGACAACAGTCAAGCAAATGAGTTCCGACCGAAGAGCAGCGGGTTTGTGTTTGGCAAGGCGCCATGAGGTCGCGTCAAGAGTAAAAAGGAAAACGACTCGGGTTTTAAAGCCTGCGTCAAAAAAATTATGGTGGCAGTACGGGGAATCTAGTCTTGTGTAAAAAAAAAGTAGTTCGTTATATAAAGGACATGGAAGAGAAAACTGTTTGGCAAAGTCAGAGAACGTGACTATGGTCAGTTAGCTAGCCCTGTTTGATTAAGCGACAATATACATTATCTGGGGTTGAGGTGATGCATGGATACCTGGGAGGAGAATACTCGTGCTGGGCAGTTTGTAAGCCGATCTGGCACAATCATAACCGGGAAAGATCGCAGCTTTTATCTGAAAAGCAACCTAAACCATCATCGAGAATCAACTTGCATTGGGATGGCTGCAGATAAGCAACTTATAATATACTGAAAATATGAGCATCTCGGATCGCACGTTAAAAAGATAGTAGAAAAAGACAAGTAGCCAACACACAAATAAACAGCCAACACAAGTGAACATGCGTGTCCCAGGAAGCAATTAAGAAGAAGAAGAAGAAGAAGAAGAAGAAGAAGAAGACTCGATCGCTGGGA